TTTTTTTTTTTTTTTTTTTTTTTTTTTTAGTGTAACAATTTGATTTGGAAATCGAAGGACAGACTTTACTCTTTATCAGGGCAATAGGGGTAAATGGGTGGAAAGTCAAATAATGTCTACTTCAATTCCATATATAACTACTTTATTCTCTAAATTCTTGTACTTCTACTTGAATGAAAAAACTATTTTTAGGGCTAAATTATTCACAAATATACTGTTAACCAAGTGAAGAGTCAGCTAAACAGAATAAACTGACAATGCTGCTATTTATTTTGTATTAGTTTTTACTTCTGAGATGGGTTCTTACGTGGACTGAGTTGGTCTTGAACTCCTAGGAGTAAGTGATCTTCCTGCCTCAGACTTCTGAGCAGCTGGGAATGCAATAGGCATGTGCCACAACACCTGACTGACAATACTCTTTTAAAAGATGATTCCCAAGTCACCACTAAAAGATAGTTCAAATTGTCCTATTCTACAGAACAAGGCCTATATTTTTGCCTTCATTACATGATTTTCTTTAGAAAGTTGCATGTTGAAGGTGGTAATTAAAGCATATTTCTTTATGCAATTTCTCAAATGGATGGTAATATTTACTTATAAAATACAATCCAGCATTTTGTATGCTCTGATAATTATATTTAATCTAGTCTATAGTGCAATATAATCTGTACTCTACATTGCAATATAAGGACATAATACATCCCATTTCATTGGAAGTGGTCAAAGGCAAGTACAATTTCCATTGATTATTTTATTTATTGAAAGGTTTGGAATCTAATACCAAACATGCTAGGGTGTAAGTACATTCCATAAAATTTCTTTGGATAGTCAAAAAAGCAGGCTTGAACTGACAGGTAAGATTAAGAACAAATAGAATGTGCCTGAGAATTCAAATGAAACCCAAGGTACATCTTTGGGAGAAAACCTTTTCATCTTCAATTATTCTAAATCAGAAGAAAGCATAATGCAAGAGTTAACCACTTCTAAATGATCTATTTGTTTTGGATTTTTAAGAGGATCCAAGAATTTTTTAAATTGTAAAACTCAAATTAGAGCAAATTATATTCCATGATTTTATGATTATGTCAAAAATGTATCATAATGTTATATATAACTTTAAAAACTACCCAAAACACCCAACTATGGCAATTAGTTGAGCCCATAGATTATATTTATGAAAACGGGCCTCCTTGAATAGTTAAAAGATAGCAATTTATTCTCATACTTTCTTTTCCCTGATAATAGCAGGATGGCAATTTATTTTGTCTCCTCCAGTTAGTTTTGTTTGGGTTCTGTTTATTGGTACTGATGTAGGACTGATGAGGCTAGCCATCCAAGGAATTAGCAGGAAGAAGGTTTATTGGCTGCAACCGGACCAGTCCAGAGTGTGGCTTGTGCCTGAAATTTCCTCCTCTGGACAATTATTCTAGAAACTCTTTGTATTTTATACCCAATGTGTGTGTGTGGGGGGGGAGATTGGGGGTTTATATTTTTGCAGGAGTCTACATAAAAGTAATTTTTTGAGTTATCAGAAAGTGCTTTTTGTCTCATTTTTTAGAACAATCAGAGGTTTTACACATTTTACCACAAAAGCAGGAGCAACA